CGGGGGGGGGAGGGGCGCGGCCGCGCTGTCGCCGCCGCTGTCGCGACAGAGCCGCGATTCGGGGCCGATTCGCGGCTTTTTTGTGTGGCGGACTCACCGTGAGGCCTCAGCGGCGCCCGGCGCGGGGTCTCCCAGGCGCCCCCGCACGGGCAACGCCGCCAGGACCCCGCCGGGCCCCGCCGCTTAGGGGTTCGCGGCGATGCCTGATCGCGGCCGCCACTCCGTCGGCGCTCGCCGCGCGCCGGAAAGGACGGGGAGGGGACGTGGAAGGCTTGGGGGGGTTTAACGGGACTCCCCCCGCTCGGTACCGGGCCCCCCCCGGGAAAGTACGGGGAGGAATTGATTAGCATAAACCGCGCCCCCGGACAGGCATTAGAATAGACACGCCCCCGCGCTGGCGCCTCAGCGGCCAAGCCCCCCCCTGAGGGACCTCTCATTAGAATAAGCCACGCCCAGCAGGGTGGATATTAGCATAAACCACGCCCCGAGGCGCAGCGCGCCAGCCCTGTGGCTCTCATTTACATAAACCACGCCCCATCACAAAAACAGCGAAAACCCCGTACTCTGAATTTACATACCCCACGCCCTGACACGCTGTAAATTATCATAAACCACGCCCCCAAACCTGAGTTACGCTCGGCCCCGTCGCGCGTCCTAATTTGCATAAACCCCTCCCACACGCTTTCTTTTTCAGTCCTCCCGCCCGCCAGGGAGCGCTGCGGATTCGCGGCTGCTGCGAGGGGGCGCTCCCCGTCACGTGACGCGGCGTGGGGGGTCACGTGGGACGGCGGCTCGGCCGTCATGGCGGCCATGGCGGCGGAGAAGGAAGCGGAGGCGCAGCGGCTGCTGAGCGAGGCGGAGCGGAAGGTCCGGGGGGCTCAGTCCTTCCTCGGGGGCCTCTTCGGGTGCGTGCGGGCGGCGCGGGCCGGGCGGCGGCACCGGGGAGGCCGCGGGAGCCCCGGGGGGACGGTGGGGAAGCGGGGAAAAGGCGGCCGGAGGGGGAAAAAGGGGAATTGGGGGGGTCCTGAGGGGAATTTGGGGATTTTCCTGAGGGGAGCGCCCGGAATTGCCCAAATTCCCCTTTTCCCACCCCGCTTCCCTCCCCACCCCCCAGAATTCCCATTTTTCCCAGAATAATTCCCATTTCTCCCCAATAATCCCCATTTTTTTCCCATTTTCCCCAATAATTCCCACTTTTCCCCCATTTTTCCCCAACAATTCCCATTTTTGGGGGGAAATGGGGGGAAAATGGGAATTTTTTTTGGGAAAAATGGGATTTATTCTGGGAATTACTGCAGGAAAAAATGGGAATATTGTGGCAATTATCCTGGGAATTATTTTGGGAAAAAAAATGGGAATTATTCTAGAAATTATTGGGAATGATCCCAAGGAAAAAGGGAATTGTGGTGAGAATTATTCCAGGGAAAAAATGGGATTATTCTGGGGAAAACTGGGAATTGTCCTGGGAATTCTGGCAGAGCAAACAGCAGCCCCGTCATTAACCCATTAATTCCATTAATTCTCATTAATTCCCAATTAATTCATGCTGTTAATTCCATATTTTTCCCTGTTAATTCCACGTTTTTCCCCTGTTTATTCCGTGTTTATTCCACTTTTATCCCACTTTTTTCCCTCTTTTCCAGAGCAAACACCAACCCCATCACTACCCATTAATCCCCATTAATTCCCATTAATTCCCAATTAATTCCTGCTGTTAATTCCATGTTTTTTCCCCTGTTAATTCCATGTTTTTTCCATGTTTATTCCGTGTTTATTCCACTTTTATCCCACTTTTTTATTCCACTTTTTTCCCTCTTTTCCAGAGCAAACACCAACCCATCATTGCCCATTAATTCCATTAATCCCCATTAATTCCCAATTAATTCCTCCTGTTAATTCCATGGTTTTTTTCCTGTTAATTCCACGTTTTTCCCCTGTTTATTCCCTGTTTATTCCACTTTTATCCCCCTTTTTTCCCTCTTTTCCAGAGCAAACACCAACCCCATCATTACCCCATTAATTCCATTAATCCCCATTAATTCCATTAATCCCCATTAATTCCATTAATTTCCCGTTAATTCCCAATTAATTCGTGGTATTTTTTCCAATAATTCCCAATAATTATTCCATAAATTCCTGATGTTTATTCCATGCTGTTTATTCCGTGTTTATTCCACTTTTATCCCACTTTTTTCCCTCTTTTCCAGAGCAAACACCAACCCCATCATTGCCCATTAATTCCATTAATCCCCATTAATTCCCATTAATCCCCATTAACTCCATTAATTTCCCGTTAATTCCCAATTAATTCGTGGTATTTTTTCCAATAATTCCCAATAATTATTCCATAAATTCCTGATGTTTATTCCATGTTTTTTTTCTGTTTTCCTGGTGCAGCTGCAGAGCAAACACCAACCCCATCATTACCTAATAATCCCCATTAATTCCCAATTAATTCCCCATTAATTCCCATTAATTCCTGCTGTTAATTCCATGTTTTTTTCCTGATAATTCCACGTTTTTCCCCTGTTTATTCCCTGTTTATTCCAGTTTTATCCCACTTTTTTCCCTCTTTTCCAGAGCAAACACCAGCCCATCATTGCCCATTAATCCCCATTAATCCCCATTAATCCCCATTAATTCCTGCTGTTGATCCCATGTTTTTCCCATGTTTTCCCCATGTTAATTCCACCTTTTTCCCCTGTTTATTCCCTGTTTATTCCAGTTTTATCCCACTTTTTTTCCTGTTTTCCAGAGCAAACACCAGCCCATCATTGCCCATTAATCCCCATTAATCCCCATTAATTCCTGCTGTTTCTCCCATGTTTTTCCCATGTTAATTCCATGTTTTTCCCTGTTTCCAGAGGCAGGAGCAGCGTTCATGTTTTTAGCCCAGCTGCAGCTGCAGAGCAAACACCAACCCATCATTGCCCATTAATCCCCATTAATCCCCATTAATTCCTGCTGTTTCTCCCATGTTTTTCCCATGTTAATTCCATGTTTTTCTCTGTTTCCAGAGGCAGGAGCAGCGTTCTCCAGGGTAGCCCAGCTGCAGCTGCAGCTCCAGAGCAAACACGACGCCGCCACCAATTTCGTGGACGCCGGGCACGCCTTCAAGAAGGCAGATCCGCAGGGTGGGGGCTGGGAATTCCAGGAATTTTGGGGAATTTCGGGAATTCTGGGGGGTCTGGGGGCGTGGGGGAGGGAATTCCACAAAAATCCCGTCGGATTCCTGGGAAAATCCACGGAAATCTCACTAAAACCTCACTAAAATCCTACCAAAATTCCATTAAAATCCCCCTAAAATTTTCCTAAAATTCTACTAAAATCCCATTAACAATTCCACTAAAATCCCATTAAAATCTCATTAAAATCCTACCAAAATTCCATTAAAATCCCACTAAAATCCCATGAAAATCTCATTAAAGTCCTACCAAAATCCCATTAAAATCGCAGTAAAATTTTCCTAAAATCCCACTAAAATCCCATTAACAATTCCACTAAAATCCCATTCAAATCTCTCTGAAATCCCAGTAAAATCCCACTAAAATCCCATGAAAATCTCTTTAAAACCCCATTAACAATTTTACTAAAATCCCATGAAAATCTCTCTAAAATCCCATTAACAATTCCACTAAAATCCCACAAAAATCTCATTAAAATCCTACCAAAATCCCATTAAAATCCCACTAAAATTTTCCTAAAATTCCACTAAAATCCCATTAAAATCCCATTAAAACCCTACGATCCCATTAAAATCCCACTAAAATTTTCCTAAAATTCCACTAAAATCCCATTCAAATCTCTCTAAAATTCCAGTAAAATTCCACTAAAATCCAATTAACAATTCCACTAAAATCCAATTAATAATTCCATTAAAATCCCATTCAAATCTCTCTAAAATCCCATTAACAATTCCACTAAAATCCCATGAAAATCTCTCTAAAATCCCATTAACAATTCCACTAAAATCCCATTCAAATCTCTCTGAAATCCCATTAAAATCCCACTAAAATCCCATGAAAATCTCTCTAAAATCCCATTAACAATTCCACTAAAATCCCATTAAAATCCCATTAAAACCCTACGAAAATTCCATTTAAAATCCCAGTAAAATGCTCTTAAAATTCCACTAAAATCCCATTAACAATTTCACTAAAATCCCATGAAAATCTCATTAAAGTCCTACCAAAATCCAATTAAAATCCCAGTAAAATTTTCCTAAAATTCCACTAAAATCCCATTCAAATCTCTCTAAAATTCCATGAAAATATCTCTAAAATCTCATTAACAATTCCACTAAAATCCCATGAAAATCTCATTAAAATCCTACCAAAATTCCATTTAAAATCCCACTAAAATTCTCTTAAAATTCCACTAAAATCCCATTCAAATCTCTCTGAAATCCCATTAAAATCTCTTTAAAATCCCATTAACAATTCCACTAAAATCCCATTCAAATCTCTCTAAAATCCCATTAAAACCCCACTAAAATCCCACTAAAATTGCTCTAAAATCTCATTAAAATAAAACCTTTCTAGAAGTCCACTAAAACCCCATTAAATCTCTCTAAAACTCTCCAAAATCCCTTGAAAATTCCCCAAAATCCCCCTAAAATCCCCCCAAAATTCCCTGAAATTTCCAAAACTCCCCCTAAAATTCCCAAAAATCTCCAAAACTCCTCCCAAAAATCCCCCTAAAACTCCCTAAAATCCCCAAAAATTCCCAAAATTCCCGGATTTTCCCTGCTCCTGTGCCCCTCCTCCCTGAGGGGCCTTTTCCCACTTTTTTTCCCACTTTTTTCCCACTTTTTTTCCCCCCTTTTCCCCGGGGATCCCCGAGCTGAGCAGATGGAGCCGAATTCCTGCGGTTTTGGGCTGAATTCCCGGGATTTTGGGCAAAACTCCCAAAGTTTTGGGCTGAATTCCCAGCATTTTGGGCAGAATTCCCAAAGCTTTTGTCAGAATTCCCGGGGTTTTGGGCTGAATTCCCAGGATTTTGGGCAGAATTCCCAAAGTTTACATCAGAATTCCCGGGGTTTTGGGCTGAATTCCCAGGATTTTGGGCAAAACTCCCAAAGTTTTGGCCAAAATTCCTGGGGTTTTGGGCAGAATTCCCAAAGTTTTCGTCAGAATTCTCAGAGTTTTGGGCAGAATTCCCAGAATTTTGGGCAGAATTCCCAGGTTTTTGAGCAGAACTTTCAGCTTTCTGAGCAGAATTCCTGCGGTTTTTGGGCAGAATTCCCAAAGTTTTGGGGGGGTCCAATCCTGATTTTTTTTTGGATTTTAATTCTGGGAACTTCGGGGCTCTGATCCCGAGGATTTTGGGGCTCTGATCCCAAAAAATTTGGAGCTCTGATCCCAAAATTTGGGGTCTAATCCCAACCCCTCATTTTCCCTTTTCCCCCCATTTTCCCCCTCATTTTTCCCTCATTTTTCCCAATTTTTCCCAATTTTTCCCCAATTTTCCCCTTTTCCAGAGGCTGTCAATTGCCTGCTCCGTGCCATCGAGATCTACACAGACATGGTGAGAGAGAATTCCCAAAATTCCCAAAATTCCCCCCCAGAATTTGGGATTGGGGGGGGTTTCTGTTCCCCCTCCCCCACCCAGCTGCTCCCCTGGGAAATTCCCATTTTTCCATGCAACATTCCCATTTATTCCCTCAAAAATTCCCATTTTTCCCTTGAATATTCCTCTTTTTCCAAAGATTTTCCCATTTTCCCCTGAAAAATTCCCATTTTTCCTGGGAAGTTTCCATTATTCCATGGAAAATTCACATTTATTCCATGGAATATCCCCCTTTTCCCTGGAATGTTCTCATTTTCCCTGGAATATTCCCATTTTTATCCCCATTTTTCTTCTATTTTTATCCCCATTTTTATCCCCATTTTTTCTTGGAATATTCCCATTTTCCATTTTTATCCCCAGTTTCCCATTTTCATTCCCATTTTTCCCATTTTTATTCCTATTTCCCCATTTTTTCCCCAATTTCCCATTTTTATTCCCATTTTTTCCCCAATTTCCCATTTTTACTCCCATTTTTTTCCCCATTTTCCCATTTTTCCCCAATTTCCCATTTTCATCCCCATTTTTCCCCAATTTCCCGTTTTTATTCTCATTTTCATCCCCAATTTCCCATTTTCATTCCCATTTTTCCCATTTTTATCCCAAATTTACCATTTTTATTCCCATTTTTTTCTCCATTTTCCCATTTTTTCCCCAATTTCCCATTTTTATTGCCATTTTCATTCCCAATTTCCCATTTCCATCCCCATTTTTCCTCAATTCCCCGTTTCTGTCCCCGTTTCCCCCCATTTCCATCCCCAATTTCCCATTTTCATTCCCGTTTTTCCCCAATTCCCCGTTTCTGTCCCCATTTCCATCCCCAAATTTCCCATTTTTATTCCCATTTTTCCCCAATTCCCCGTTTCTGTCCCCGTTTCCCCCCATTTCCATCCCCAATTTCCCATTTCTATCCCCAATTTCCCATTTTTATCCCAAGTTTCCCATTTTTATCCCCAATTTCCCATTTTTATCCCAAGTTTCCCATTTTTATCCCCAATTTCCCATTTTTATCCCAAGTTTCCCATTTCTATCCCCAATTCCCCATTTCCATCCCCAATTTCCCATTTCCATCCCCAATCTCCCATTTTCATTCCCGTTTTTTCCCCAATTCCCCGTTTCCGTCCCCATTTTTCCCCAATTTCCCATTTCCATCCCCAATTTCCCATTTCCATCCCCAATTTCCCATTTCCATCCCCAATTTCCCATTTCCATCCCCAATTTCCCATTTTCATTCCCGTTTTTCCCCATTTCCCCGTTTCTGTCCCCATTTCCATCCCCAATTTCCCTTTTTTTTCCCCAAATCCCCGTTTCTGTCCCCGTTTCCATTCCCCATTTCCCATTTTTATCCCCAATTTCCCATTTTCATTCCCGTTTTTCCCCAATTCCCCGTTTCTGGCCCCATTTCCCCCCATTTCCATCCCCAATTTCCCATTTTCATTCCCGTTTTTCCCCAAATCCCCGTTTCCGTCCCCGTTTCCCCCCCAGGGCCGTTTCACCATCGCGGCCAAGCACCACGTCTGCATCGCTGAGATCTACGAGAGCGACCTGCTGGACATCCAGAAGGTGCCGGGGCAGCGTTCCCAAAAATCCCCAGAATCCCGGGAAATCCCGGGAAAAATACCGGGAAAATCCCAGGAAAAAAATCCCGGGAAAATCACGGGAAAATCCTGGGAAATCACGGGAAAAAAATCCCGGGAAAATCACAGGAAAATCCCAGGAAAATCACGGGAAAATCCCAGGAAAAAAATACCGGGAAAATCACGGGAAAATCCCGGGAAATCCCGGGAAAAAAATCCTGGGAAATCACAGGAAAAATCCCGGGAAAAAAATCCTGGGAAAATCACAGGAAAATCCCAGGAAAAAAATCCTGGGAAAATCGCAGGAAAAATCCCGGGAAAATCACAGGAAAATCACGGAAAAATCGCAGAAAAATCACGGGGAAAATCACAGGAAAATCACGGAAAAAATCCCGGGAAAATCCCGGGAAATCCCGGGAAAAAAATCCCGGGAAAATCACAGGAAAATCCCAGGAAAAAAATCCTGGGAAAATCGCAGGAAAAATCCCGGGAAAATCACAGGAAAATCACGGAAAAATCGCAGAAAAATCACGGGGAAAATCACAGGAAAATCACGGAAAAAATCCCGGGAAAATCCCGGGAAAAACCCAGGAAAATCATGGGAAAAATCCTGGGAAAATCGCAGAAAAATCCTGGGAAAATCACAGGAAAATCATAGGAAAAAAAATCACAGGAAAAATCCTGGGAAAATCACAGGAAAAATCCCAGGAAAATCACAGGAAAATCCCGGGGAAAATCACAGGAAAATCACAGGAAAAAAATCCCGGGAAAATCACAGGAAAAACATCCTGGGAAAATCACAGGAAAAATCACGGGAAAATCACAGACAAATCCCAGGAAAATCACAGAAAAATCACAGGAAAAATCCCGGGAAAATCACAGGAAAATCACAGGATAAATCACAGGAAAATCCCGGGAAAATCACAGAAAAATCCCAGGGAAAATCACAGGAAAAAAATCCCGGGAAAATTACAGGAAAATCACAGGGAAAAAGCCTCAGAAAAATCCTGGGAAAGTGTGGAAAAATAAAAAAAAAATCCTCAAAAAATCACGGAAGAATCTGAGAAAATCCTAAAAAATTCCTGCAGAAATCCCTAGGAAAATTCTGGAAAAATCCTCAAAAATCACAGAAAAAATCCTGGAAGAAAATCAGAAAAATCACAGGAAAAATCCCCAGAAAAATCCTAGGAAATGGTGGAAAAATAAAAAAAAGCTTCAAAAAATCATGGGAAAAATCCAGGAAAATCCCAGAAAAAAAAAAAAAAAACCCGGAAAAATTCCCCGAAAATCTTGGAAAAAATCTGGAAAGATCCCGAAAAAAAAAAAAAAAAAAAAAAAAACCTGGAAAAATTCCACGAAAATCTTGGAAAAAATCTGGAAAGAAAAAAAAAAAAAAAAAAAAAAAATCCTGGAAAATCCCTGGGAAAATCCTGGGAAAAAAATCACAGAAAAACTTCCTGGGAAAATCCTGGAAAAATCTTCAAAAAATCCCAGAAAAATCCTGCAAAAATCCCCCACAAATCGCAGGAAAAATCCCCAGAAAAATTCTGGGAAAATCCCAGAAAATAATCTGGGAAAATCCTCAAAAAATCCCTGAAAAATCCAGGAAAATCCTAAAAAAATCCTGGGGAAATCCCTAAAAAGTCTGGGAAAAATTCACAGAAAATCTCAGAAAAATCCCCAGGAAAATCCTGGGAAAATTCCGAGGAAAATCCTGGAAAAAAAACCCACAAAAATTTTGGAAAAAAACCTGGAAAATTTCTGGGAATTTGGGAGATTTTTCTGGGATTTTTCCAGGATTTTTTGGGACTTTTCTGGGAGGTTTTTTTTTTAATTTCTTTGGGAATTTTTTAAAAATTTTTTCTGGGAATTTGGGTTTTTTTCTGGCATTTTTCTGGGACTTTCCCTGGATTTTTTTTTTATTTTTTCCGTGATTTTCCCGAGATTTTCTGGTATTTTTGGGGGATTTTTCTGGGAATTTTCCAGGATTTTCCCCGGATTTTTTTTTTTTAATTTGGGGATTTTCCAAGGATTTTTTTTCTGGGATTTTTGGGGGTTTCTCTGTATTTTTCTGGGATTTTTCTGAGCTTCCCCCCGGATTTTTGGGGGATTTTTCCGTGATTTTCCTGGGGATTTTTCTGGGATTTTTCCAGCATTTCTGGGATTTTTCCAGGAATTCCTGGGAATTTTCCAGCATTTCCTGCCCCCAGCAGGAGCAGACGGAGCGGGGGCGGCCCCGGAGCCGCCGGAATTCCAGAACTTTCCAGGAGGGGGGAGGGGCAGGGATGGAGAATTCCAGGATTTCAGCTCCTGTTCCCTCCTGGGATTTATCCTGGAATTTTGGGGCTTTTATCCCAATTTTATTCTGTTTTTATCCCTTTTTATATCCTGTTTTAATCCCTTTTTTTATCCTCTTTTTTACCCCATTTTTATCCCATTTTAATCTATTTTTTTATCCCATTTTCACCCCATTTTTATGCCTTTTAAATCCTGGTTTTAGCCCTTTTTATCTCATTTTTACCCCCTTTTAATCTATTTTTCCCATTTTTATTCCTTTTTAATGGAATTTTTTATCCCTTTTTCACCCCATTATTACCCCATTTAAAATTTATTTTTACCCCATTTTTATCCTTTTTTATCCCATTTTTATCCCCTTTTTATGGAATTTTTTATCCCTTTTTAACCTTATTTTAAATTAACTTTTCATCCCATTTACATCCTGGTTTATCCCATTTTCATCCCATTTTTATTCCTTTTTTTGGTTTTTTTTTTTTAATTACTTTTCCAAGTTTTCCCAGGATTTTTCTGGGATTTTTTTCTAGAATTTTCCCTGGGATTTTTCAAAGATTTTCCAGCATTTTCCTGGGATTTTTTTTTTTCCTGAGATTTTTTCCAGCATTTTCCGTGATTTTTTTTCCTGGGATTTTCCCCTGGATTTCTCTGGGATTTTTTTCTAGAATTTTCCCTGGGATTTTTCAAAGATTTTCCCAGGATTTTCCTGGGTTTTGCCTGGACCTTTGTGGGATTTTTTTCCTGGGAACTTTCCAGGCTTTTCCCAGGATTTTTCTGTGGTTTTTTTTCCGGGTTATTTCCAGATTTTTCTGGGATCTTTTTGGGTTTTTCTGGGATTTTTGGGTGGTTTTTTCCACAATTTTCCCAGACTTTTCCTGGGATTTTCCTGGAATTTTTCCCAGATTTCCCCAGGATTTTTTCCCGTGTTTCCCCAGGATTTTCCTGGGATTTTCCCCGGGATTTCCCGCAATCTTTTGGGTTTCTTGGGATTTTTTTCCGGATTTTTCCGGGTGGATTCCGTCTCTCCTGGCTGTTTTGGGGGATTTTTTTGGGGATTTTTTGGGATTTTTGGCCGAATTTTCCTGAATTTTCCTGAATTTTCCCGATTTTTTCCCCCCAGGCCGTGGCGCACTACGAGCAGGCGGCCGATTACTACCGAGGGGAGGAATCCACCAGGTAACGGATCCCAGCGGATCCCAGGGAATCCCAGCGGATCCCGGCGGATCCCGGGGAATTCCAGCAGATCCCGGGGATCCTGAATCCCAGCAGATCCCACGGGATCCAGGCCCAGATCCCGGGGGATCCCAGGGGATCCCAAATCCCAACAGATCCCGGGGATCCCAATGGATCCCAGAGGATCCCAACGGATTCTGGGGGATCCCAAACCCAAATCTCAACAAATCCTTGAGGGATCCCAACAGATCCCGGGGAATCCACGCAGATCCCACGGGATCCAGACCCGGATCCCAAATCCAGATCCCAACAGATCCCGGGGAATCCATGCAGATCCCACGGGATCCAGACCCAGGTCCCAACAGATCCCGGGGATCCCGAATCCCAGCAGATCCCATGGGATCCAGACCCAGATCCCAACAGATCCCAGGGAATCCCAGCAGATCCCATGGGATCCAGACCCAGGTCCCAACAGATCACAGGGGATCCCAAATCCAGATCCCAACAGATCCCAGGGGATCCCAAATCCAGATCCCAATGGATCCCGGGGAATTCCAGCAGATCCCGGGGATCCCGAATCCCAGGGGATCCCAGGAGATCCCAAATCCGGATCCCAACAGATCCCGGGGATCCCAATGGATCCCAACGGATTCTGGGGGATCCCAAATCCAAATATCAACAAATCCTTGAGGGATCCCAGCAGATTCCAGGGGATCCCAACAGATCCTGGTGGTCCCAAATCCCAACAGATCCCGGGGATCCCAATGGATCCCAACGGATTCTGGGGGATCCCAAATCTCCACAAATCCATGGATCATCCCAAATCCAGATCCCAGCAGGTCCCAGGGGATCCAGAGAGATCCCAAATCCAATCCCAAGGGATCCCGGAGGATCCCAGATCCAAACCCCAACAGATTTCGAGGAATCCCCACAGGTCCTGGGAATCCCAAATCCCAGCGGATCCCAAGAGATCCCAGTGGTTCCCAAATCCAGATCCCAGGGGATCCAGAGAGATCCCAAACCCAATCCCCGGGGATCCCAGAGGATCCCAGATCCAAACCCCAACAGATTTCGAGGAATCCCAAATCCCAGCGGATCCCAAGAGATCCCAGTGGTTCCCAAATCCAGATCCCAGGGGTTCCAACGCATCCCAGAGGATCCCAACGGATTCTGGGTGATCCCAAATCTCCACAAATCCTCGAGGGATCCCAAATCCAGATCCCAGGGATCCCAACAGATCCCGGGGGATCCCAAATCCCAGCGGATCCCAAGAGATCCCAGGGGATCCCAGGCCCAAATCCCGGCAGATCCCGGGGATCCCGACGGATTTTTGAGGGATCCCAAATCCCAGGGGATCCCGATGGATTTTTGGGATCCCAGATCCAAACCCCAACAGATTTCGAGGAATCCCCACAGGTCCTGGGAATCCCAAATCCCAGCGGATCCCAAGAGATCCCAGGGGATCCCAAATCCAGATCCCAGGGATCCCAACAGATCCCGGGGGATCCCAAATCCCAGCGGATCCCAAGAGATCCCAGGGGATCCCAGGCCCAAATCCCGGCAGATCCCGGGGATCCCGACGGATTTTTGAGGGATCCCAAATCCCAGGGGATCCCGATGGATTTTTGAGGGATCCCAGACCCAAACCCCGGCAGATCCCAGGCCCAGATCCCAGCAGATCCCGGGGATCCCGGATCTGAGCCCCAATGGATCCCACGAGACCCCGACACAGATCCCAGGTTCAACCCCCAACGGGTTCTGGCAGATCCCGGGCCCAGAGGATCCCGATGGATCCCAGCTGATCCCGACCCGGGTCCCAAAGGGTCCCAGGCGGGTCCTAGCAGATCCTGAGGGATCCCAACTGATCCCAAGCTAAATCCCAATGGATCCCGACAGATCCTGGGGGATCCCAAATCCCAGCAGGTCCCAGCTCCAGATCCTGAGAGATCCCAACGGATCCTGGGATTCCAAATCCCGATGGATCCCGGGGATCCCGACCCTGAGTCCCAGTGGATCCCAGAGGATCCTGACCCAGATTCCAGGGGATCCCAGACCCCAATCACGAGGGATCCCGGTCGATCCCAACCCAGATCCCAACAGATCCCAGTGGATCCCGACCCCCCAACCCCTCGGTTCCCAGTACATCCCAACAGATCCCAACCCAAATCAAAAAGGCTTCCAGTAGATCCCAGCTCTGGGTCCCAGTTGGTCCCGAGGGATCCCAACGGGTTCTGACCCGTCCCAATGGATTCTGACCCAAATTTCAGTGGATCCCTGGGGATCCCCAAAGGATTGGGAGAGATCCCGACCCCAAATCCCAACCCAAGACCCAACGGATCCCAGTCGGTCCCAACCCGGATCCCACCAGGCCCTGGAGATCCCAGCGGATCCCAACCCGACCTACAAAGGGTCCCAGTGGATCCCGGATCTGGGTCCCGGTTGATCCTGAGGGATCCCAACAGATCCCAACGGGTTCTGACCCAAATTTCAGTGGATCCCTGGGGATCCCAAATGGATCGGGGGATCCCAAATGGATCCTGAGGGATCCCAGCTCCAGGTTTGGGTTGGGATCCATTGGGATCCACTGGGGTCCATTGGGATCCATTGGGATCCATTGGGATCTGGGGGGGGGGGGTGGG